GGAATTGAGTTTGGCTCTGATGATAGATTTTTATGGAACTAGATGCTGAATTCCTCAGAATATGTCACCTCATGAACACACCCCACAGAAATCCAGAATCATATAAGATTCTCTATATGTTATACCATTGCAGGGGAAAGCACCATATAGGTAATCATTCATTCACTCTTTTTGCATATCATAAAATTTACCCACTTAAAATTTGCAAATATTTTGCCCAAGTGCTACAACCTCACTATAAATGAGTTTTAGAACATTTTCATGCCCCCTTATGCCCATTTATCTTGGTTCCCAAATCCCAGCCCCAGGCAACCGCTAATCTACTTTGTCTCTATAAATTTGCCTTTTCTAGAATCTTCATACAAATGGAGTTTCACTCAGCATAGTGTTTTTAAGGTTCATCCATGACATTAGCATGTGTCAGTAGTTTGCTACTTTTTATTGCTGAATAATATTCCATTGTATGGGTATAATACATTTTGTCTATCCATTGCCTGGTTGATAGACATTTAGGTTATTTTAAGTCTTAACCTATTCTGAATAATACTTCTTTTTAAAAAAAAATTTTTTTTAATGTTTGTTTATTTTTGAGAGACAGAGCATGAGCAGGGGAGGGGCAGAGAGAGAGGGAGACACAAAATCCTAAGCAGGCTCACGACCACAAGATCATGACCTGAGCCGAAGTTTGCCGCTTAACCAACTGAGTCACCTGGGTCCCCAAATGCTTCTTCTTTTTTTTTTTTAATGTTTATTTATTTATTTATTTTTAATGAGAGAGCATGAGCAGGGGAGGGGCAGGAAAAAGGGACGCAGAGAATCCCAAGCAGGCTCTGTACTGTCAGCACAGAGCCTAATATGGGCCCAAACACATCAACTGTGAGATAATGACCCTGCTGAAATCAAGAGTTGGACGTTCAGCCGACTGAACCACCCAGACACCCCTCTGAATAATGCTTCTATGAACATTCACATACAAGTGTTTATGTGGATATATATTTTCACTTCTCTTGGGTAGATGCTTAGAATTGGAATTGCTGAGGGGCGCCTGGGTGGCTTAGTCGGTTAAGCGTCCGACTTTCGCTTAGGTCATGATCTCGCGGTCCGTGGGTTCGAGCCCCGCGTCGGGCTCTGTGCTGACTGCCAGCTCGGAGCCTGGAGCCTATTTCAGAGTCTGTATCTCCCTCTCTCTCTGACCCTCCCCTGATCACACTGTCTCTCTCTCTCTCCTAGAAATAAATAAAAATATTAAAAAAAAAAAAAGAAGTGGAATTGCTGAGCTGTAAGGCAGTCTTACATGTAACTGTTTTTGAAATTGCCACGTTGTTTTCCAAAAGACCAGTACCATTTTATATTTCTTTCAGTAGTGTATCAGGTTCCAATTTCTCCACATCCTTGCCAATATTTGTTATTGCCTGGTTTTTTTTATTATAGACATTCTAAAGGATATGAAATGGTATCTTATTGTGGTTTTAATTTGCATTTTTCTAATGACTAATGAATGGTATCAAGCATATTTTCACATTCTTGTTAGCCATTTGTGTAACTTCTTTGATGAAGTGTCTGTTTATTTCTTTTGCCCATTATTTGATTGAGTTGTTTGCTTTCTAACTATTAAGCTGTAAGCATTATTTATATATTACGGATACAAATCCTTTATCAGATATGTGTTTTCCAGATATTTTCTCTAATCTGTAACTTGTCTTTTAATTTTCTTAAAATTTATTTTAATGTTTATTTTTGAGAGAGAGCGAGCGAGCAAGTGAGGGAGGGGCAGAGAGAGAGGGAGACACAGACTCTGAAGCAGGATCCAGGCTCTGAGCTGTTAGCACAGAGCCCAACGCAGGGCTCAAACTCACAAGCCATGAGATCATGACCTGAGCCAAAGTTGGACGCTCAACTGACTGAGCCACCCAGGTGCCCTACTTTTCTTGATGGTATATTTTGAAGTGCAGAGGTCTTGGAATTTTGATGATATCCAGTTTATCAGTTTTTTCAGTCATAGACTGTTTCTGGTCCAACAGAACACAGTCCATCTTAAAAAAAAAAAAAAAAAAAAAAGGAAATGAAATGAAAAAAATACATAGTCTATCTGTAGAATAGATAGCAGCTTTTTTTTTTTTTTTAGTTTTTTGTTTTTTTTTAAAGTAGTCTCTGCACCCAGCCTGAGGCTTGAACGCACAACCCTGAGATCAACAGTTGCATGCTCCACTGACTAAGCCAGCCAGGTGCCCTAGTAGAAGTTTTAATCTAAGAAATCTTTGCCTAACACAAAGTCTGTTAAGTATTCTCCTGTTTCCTTCTAGAAATTTTGTTTTAGCTGTCACATTAAAAAAAATTGTTTTTAATGTTTATTTTTGAGAGACAGAGAAAGAGGGAGACATAGAATCGAAAGCAGGCTCCTGGCTCTGACCTGGCAGCACAGAGCCCAATGCAGACCTCAAACTCACTAATTGCCAGATCATGACCCGAGCTGAAGTCAGACACTTCACCGACTAAGCCATCCAGGTGCCCCTTAGCTGTCACATTTAAGTCTGTGATCCTTTTAGGGGCGCCTGGGTGGCTCAGTCGGTTGGGTGTCCAACTTCAGCTCAGGTTATGATCTCACGATTCGTGGGTTTGAGCCCCACGTCGGGCTCTGTGCTGACAGCTAGCTCAGAGCGTGGAGGCGGCTTCAGATTCTGTATCTCCCTCTCTCTCTGACCCTCCCCTGCTCATGCTATCTGTCTCTCTCTCAGAAATTAAAAAACAAAACCAAAAAACATTAAGTCTATGGTCCTTTTGAGTTATGTTCTGTATATGGTATGAGTTGAAGGTCATACTGTAAGTTCACCTTTTTGTGTGTGGATATTCAACTGTCACATTTGTTGAACACGCTATCCTTTCCTCCAATGAATTGCCTTAGCACCTTTGTCAAATATCAATTTAATATAAATATAAGGATTTATTTCTGGGCTCTCAGTTCTGATCCATTAATCTCTATGGCAATCCTTATGCCAGTACCACTGCTGAGATCTTAATATGGAAAATTATTAATACATTCTGCAAGCTAATGACTCCTCAGAACTCCAGAATGGCAACTCCAGAAATTGGGACTCAGACAAGTATTCTTTTTTTAACATTTTTTATTTTTTTATGTTTTTATTTATTTCTGAGAGAGACAGCGTGAGCATGGGAGGGTCAGAGAGAGAGAGAGATACAGAATCTGAAGCAGCCTCCAGGCTCTGAACTGGGTGTCAGCACAGAGCCCGACATGGGGCTCAAACCCATGAACCGTGAGTTCATGACCTGAGCCGAAGTCGGACACTTAACCGACTAGGCCACCCAGGTGCCCCTCAGACAAATATTCTTATAAATTGTTCAGAAGCAGCACAATAAACCTTTAATAAGCCATGTTGGCTTCAGGGTGATACTGATCTTAAATTTCACTCATTCTTTTTTAAAGATGTGTTTATTTTTAAGAGAGAGCACAAGCAGTGAAGGAACAGAGAGGGGGACAGAAGATCTGCAGCGGGCTCTGTGCTGACACCAGTGAGCCCAGTGCAGATCTTAAACTAATGTGCCGTGAGAGCATGACCTGAGCTGAAGTCAGATGCTCAACCGACTGAGCCACGCAGGTGCCCCAAATTTCACTCATTCTAATGCATCTATATAGAAGTTGCATTTGTAACTAGTATCTTTGGTTCTGCATTAAATGTAATACCTCAGTTGGCCTTGTTTGCAAGACTGCCTAGGATGGTGGCCAGTGGAATGCTCCATTTTTCATGTTAACTTAGTTCTTTGCATAGGGTTCAAAGGACTGGTTCTCCTTCTTACCTGAATTGAGCTGAAAAATTAAATTTGTAACCATGACTGTGACAGAAACATAAACTGACCATGACATTACAAGTTGGTAGCTCTTTTGACAAATATTCTGATCCTCCTCTCCTTCCAAGAACTTGTTAGCATTATTTTCCAGGCCTCCTGGACATTAGTCATCAGAATTAGTGATGGGTGGAAGGTTTAAAAGCCTGTATGGAATTCACCAAGCTTCCTATTCCTGTCCTGTGGAAGTGTGCCATGAGACGGAGCCTCCCTCAACCCTGGGAATTCGAGTGCCATGCAGAAATCCCCCCACCCCACCCCCAACCCGGGATAGCTCACATTAAACACTGTAGCTTGAATAAGAAATGTTAGTTGTGCCAGGGAGATGTTTGAGATGTTTCTGTAACATAACTTAGCTTAATATAACTGCTACAAACTATACTTAATGTGAAAACACTGCCTAAACATCTGTCAAATTGTTGGTTTGGAACCTGATCCAGGAGCTAGGTTTGGGTTCTATTCCTGGCTCTGAGACCAGCTCAAGCCCAGCAACTCTGGTTAAACATGAAGTCCATTATCCCTTCAAGTTACACACATTTACCCACTCAGCAGGGGAAAGAGTTTGTCCTCAAGTGTCAGATTGCCAGAGTTAGAATCCCAGCTTTATGCAGGGGACAGTTTTAGCCATGTTTCTTAATTTATGTGGCTGTTTCCATAGATATACAAGGCACACAACGGTGTTTATACCCTATAGAAATAAATGTAAAGCATTTAGGATAGTTCCTGGTAGATAGTGCTTTGTGGGTGTTAGCTGTTAGTGAGGAATGGCTCTTGCCAGGTATGGCAGATGACTAACCTCTACCCAGTTATCCATCCAGAACATGGCAGGTACAGCCATTCCTCTCTCTTCTATTGGAGAGCTGAGCACCAAGCACCGAGCAGAATAGTCAACCCTGGGGCAGGGTGGGGGTGTGGTGGTGTTAGGTCCAATTCAAGTTCTAAAACCCTGGGCCTGGCTCTAGATTAGAGTTGTGGCAAAAAATGAAATTGAGAGCTATGAATATGTCCTAGGTTATAAGAGCAATTAAACATCTAGAAAGTTCATAGTAAGTTTCAGAACTGGGAACTGACAAAGTCTAATGGTTTCAATCAGTGTGAACCAGAAAGCAAAAGTCACATTCCCATTCACACCCAAATAATTCACTTAATACATGTTGAGTGTCTGGTTTATTCAAATGCCGTCAATTAGAGCCCCATCCCCATCCAAGGAACAGGAAGTGAATAGTTGGGAGCTATGGGGCTGAACAGGGGAGGGCTTTGCAGGTATTGCAAGGTGAAGGGAGCTCAGCTAAGCAACCAGAGTTGCAGCATTGGGACCAGGCTGAGCAGGAGAGGCTCCACCCCATGAGGCAGGGTCCCAGCACTCATGGCCAAGGCATAGAACCTCGCCACCTCCTCATTGGGGTTGCCCTGGGCCGGGTCGAACCACATCTGGATGCAGCGGCCGCTCCCTCGGCTATCGTTGCTGAGTTGGTAGGAGTGACTCCAGATTTCACTGCACAGAGCAGCAGGTGTGGGGAAATAGGAATGGAAGGGATGGCAGTCAGCTCCCACTGGGCACTGATTATACCCTGCAAGGAAGATGGAAGACCTTTAGCCACTGGGCCCAGAACGAACTTTGTTTCTACCAATCCCATAGCCCCAAATATTCATATACCAGCTCCACATCCCACACCTCTGCCTCCAGATCTCTCCCTCCCTGCCATGCCCAGGCCCTCACCTGAGCTCCAGTTCCAGCCCTTGTGCCAGTTGCTCTTGCAGGTGTAGGACGTGCGACAGTCCTCCCACCATTGCTGACAGTCCTCCTTGCACAGGGGCACGTTCAGGATGCGCTCTTTGCGCCAGCTCTGGTTCACCTAGGAAAGGTGAGTAGAGGAAAAGGCTCAGGTTCAAGGTTCTCAGCGGCTCAGCCCTGAAGAGAGTCAGAGCTGGAGAGGCAGCAAGAGGAGTTTGGAAAGCTTAGCTCCTCGGCACAGTTGGGGGTCCAGGGGAGGACACTCATACCTGCTGGATCCAGGGCCCCAGGTTGGGGGAGCACTCATAGAGGCAGGTGTCCTGGATGAAGTGCTGTTTGCAGGCGGGTGCCATCTGTCCGCAGTGGTCCCAGTTGAATCTGTACAGGTAGGAAATGTCCTTATGGGCTTCCCGGCTGGTGTTGGCAGAGCAGCAGGAATTCTTCTTCCAGGGGCTGCACTGGGTGGGGGAGACACGGGGGCTAACTGCCATGCCTGGCACAGCCACAGTATCCCCATGTGAAACCTCTCCCCTTTCAGTCTTTTTTAAAATTTGTATTTTACTTATTTTTTTTAATGTTTATTTATTGGGGGGGGGGGGGAGAAAGAGAGAATCCCAAGCAGGCTCTGTGCTGTGAGATCATGACCTGAGCTGAAATCAAGAGTCTCATGCTTAACTGACTCAGCCACCCAGGCTCCTCCCTCTTTCATCCCCTGACACAGTCAGTCTTTCAGAAATACTTGCCATTGGGGGACCCTCTTTGGGGGAAGTGCAGCCATTATAAAATTCATTAATTCAAATCTCTATTGAGTGCCTACTTACTCTAACCCAGAAGGTAGAGACATAACAATGAACACTTATCCCAGAACAACTGCTTTGGAAAGAGATTCAGCAGGGAAGAGGGATGGGGAAGTGCAGGTTTCTAGACTGGTCAGACAAGGAAGGTGACAAAGACCTAGAAGTGAGGAAGCAAGTTAAATAAACTGGAACCTCAGAATAGATCTAATTACATAAACACTCAAAACAGTGAATGAATGAAAACCCATACCTTAGAATTCAGTTTAAAAGCAAAATATTAAAATGTGCACTTTAGGGGTGCCTGGGTGGTTCAGTTGGTTAAGTGACTCACTTTGGCTCAGGTCAGGATCTCGCGGTTTGTGAGTTCGAGCCCCATGTCAGGCTCTACATGCTGGCGGTGCAGAACCTGCTTTGGATTCTGTGTCTCCCTCTCTTTCTGTGCCTTCCCTGCTCATGCTCTCTCTCTTTGTCTCTGTCTGTCTCTCTCAAAAATAAATTAACATTTTTAAAAAGCTTAAAAAAACACAATAAAACAAAAAAAAAGCACGCACTTTAAAAACATATAGGCTGAAGAAGTTAAAATCACGGCTGCTCAGGGGTGCCTGGGGGGCTCAGTCGCTTAAGCATCCGACTATGGCTCAGGTCATGATCTCACGGTTCATGGGTTCGAGCCCTGCATCAGGCTCTGTGCTGACAGCTAGCTCAGAGCCTGGAGCCTGCTTCAGATTCTGTGTCTCCCTCTTTCTCTGATCCTCCCCTGCTCAGGCTGTCTCTCTCTCTCTCAGAAATAAATTTTCAAAAACAAAAACTTTTTAAAAATCACGGCTGCTCAAAATATGCAAGTTACACCATCACTTAGCTGCAGGCTCAGTGATTCTGAGCAAGCACTGAGGACTATGATCATTATCTGCTACTGAGGTCAAAATGAACATTTACGTATTGGAATGCATTTTGCAAGTGATTTCCCTTTTGTGTTTTCTTTATAGTTATGGCATCATTGGATTTTTTTTTAATGCTTAGACAGGTTCATGATATTAAACGGGTTGTGATAAAATACTTTTCATAGAAAAGAGACCTTGGGTCCACTAAAAAGGTCAAGAGCCAGTGGAAATGTTTGCTAGATGGATGAATCAACGTGCCTCATACCCAGCCTCAAGTCTGTGAGAAATCTACTTTGCCTGAGTTGTTTGGGGCTGGCGAGAAAGAAGCCACAATGTGCTGTGTGCACTTGCCGCTCTCAGATTCTTGGAGGGGATCAGTTCCTGTCTAAACTCTGAGATCAAAATCAGCCCCTGGGATGGGTCCCTCCCGTGTTATTTCCCAGGCTCCTCTCTGGATGTGCTTCCTGATCTGTGTAACGCAGAAACCCAACAACCAAGAAGCTGAGCTGCTGGCATTCAACTGGCAACACTGGGCACATAGTATGTGGTAAGCCACTAGTCGCCCATGTCAGTGCAAACTCAGGATGTCTCAGACGGCCTTCCTGCCTCCACCATGGAAGGTGTTTTGCCGGGAGCCGCTCTGGCCTCGCTGAATGACAGTCCCAGCAAGGATATGGTAGCGTTTGTACAGCTCCTGCCATGAGAAATGAAAACTGGTATCTCTTTCTGCTACTACTGGCTCATGTTGGAAATGACGCTGCTGGTATTGACTAGGCCTCACAATATTCCAGATCAGACCGATATTCCCCACACAGATTGCTCGTAAGGAAAGGCATGTCCCTACCTTTTCCAAAGATGAAAACATTGTGGATGATTGTTAAGAGGCTCTTCCTAAGGGCCTTGCAGATCCAAGACTTAACATAATAAAAAGGGCTTGAGTCTGGCCCTGAGACAAAGAGGCTAATTTAGAGTTAAGAGCAAATATCCACCCCCACCCATTTGTTTCTGCTTGAAGCATTTTCTGTCCTTGTATATGCTGATTGCTCCCTGTGAAGGAACCTATTGAGGAACTTCTTTTGTGATTATGAGAGCAAAAGTGTTCCCTGAAAGACCTGTTTTTCTTGATACTTCCACCTTAAACAAACAAGCTATTTTGACCCCTGCCCACAAAGAAGTAACTTCACCCTTTTTATGCTAAAAACTTTGTCTGGTATGCTAAAGATGCCTTCCTTCCCCATAGGATAAGCATCTAAATCCCCTACCTCAATCACTGTTGTAAACGTTATGCATGAGTCTTCTACAAATCTACGTTCTGGGAAATTCTTACATATCAAAGAAGTTTGTTATCAGAAATCATTGTCTAAGGCAAATGCTGCTTCTGTGCAGTCCCCCAGTCCCCCAAACACTTAATGATAAAATAAAGTTGAGCCCCAGTCAGAGCAGAGATGCCTGCCTGGTGATCAGAAAGAATCTTGGGGCTCTCTCACTCTCTCTCTTGCCGACACCATCCATCCGTCAGGGACCCCTGGACCTGCCAGAGCCAGCCTCTGACAGGGTTTGACACATCCATATCCCGCTGTCCTCTTCCTGGGTTAGCGCCTCCCCACTGCAGACCACCCCTCTGCCCACCTGCTTATGCAGCTCGTCCTCCGGGCTTGGCTTTTCCTTGTGGTGCTTGGCGTCCATACAGACGTTGAGAAGCTCAGTCCTGGGCTGGGCTGCCCACACTGCAGTCACCCCCACCAGAAGGAGCAGCAGCTCTGTTGTCACCAGCTGGGCCATGTTAGTGGCTGAAGGAAGACCTGTGGTTAGTGGCACCAAGAAAAGAGGAGGTGGGGACTCCAGGTGTGTGGAAATAGCACAGGTGGGTGGAGCCTCCAAGAAGCCTGGGCCAGGTCACGCCCCACCCCTACCCCTGTGTTCTTAGCCTCAGGAAGGGGTGGGATCAGACACCACCCTGTGGGACAGTCCTTGCTGTGTCACTATTTACGTCTCCAGGTGGACAGGAGGATCAAATGATGAAACTAAGGGAGGGGTTAGGGCAAAATGCAGAAATAGCCAGGAGATGGCCATAGGTCCACAGTCCTTTGCTTGAAATCCTTGGAGGCAAGTGCTTCCCAATGTAAAGTATTTAGGATTTTGTAAAAGGTAATACAGTTTACATGTACTCAAAAGTCAAGCACACATTCTGTGCTGAAATAGTTACACTGGTGGGAGAAATAACAACTATAATAACCTCACATTAATTTTCAAGTCAGATTTTGACACCAAATGACTTTGTGCAAATTTTGACAATAATCTCAGTTTTAGAGCTCCAGATAAGCCGCAGACCTATGTTTAAAACAAAACAGAACAAAACCCACCCGTGGTTCCAGCCCTTCCCAGCCTCATCATTTGGCCCCTCCCAGAGATCCTGTGAGGCAGGGAATTTTCCAGGGCACAGAGGGCTGTGAGCAGCTGGCTGGACAGCCTCCTGGGCCCTGGGGAGGCTCCTGCCCCCTGACCACAAAGCTGGCCTCCCGTTGGTCTTGGTAGCACCTCAATCCTCTAAGTTTGGACACTGAACCTTGGGAGGGAACTGACTGTTCCTTCACCCCTCCTATCACCCCTCTGCTCAAAGTGCCTTGTCTCCACATTGCCCACCCCTCACCCCCTACCCCCCCATCCCCATCCTGTGGCCTCCTGGATGGGACTTGAGCTGGGTGGCCTCCAGGCTGACTGCCCAGCAGGGCTTGGGGAACCTGAAATTGAACTCCCACCTCTCCTCCTCACCCCTCACCTTTCCACAATCCAATATTCTGCTACTCTATTTATTCCAGCGTTCATTCATTCTCCACTTGGTAATTCATTCATTCCAGGACCCAATCATTTTTTTAATGACCCAATCACTCACTGATTGAGTCATTAGGTTTGTCACATTAGATTTGTCACAAGACAAATCTATAGTCTTGGGAGCACCAGGTGACTCTTTGGATCAGGTTCCTTGGGGGAAACCGCAGTTTAGCAGTTTAGAGCACAGGTCTCAGCCCTAACACACCACCTCTGGCTTGACCTTGAGGGTAAATAACTCAAATTATCTTGTGCTTTAGTGTCCTCATCTGAGCACTAATTGTAGGGGAGAAAACCCCAATGAGGGGCGCCTGGGTGGCTTAGTCGGTTAAGCGTCTGACTTTTGCTTAGGTCATGATCTCGCGGTTCGTGGATTCGAGCCCTGTGTCGGGCTCTGTGCTGACTGCCAGCTCAGAGCCTGGAGACTGTTTCAGAGTCTGTGTCTCCCTCTCTCTCTGACCTTCCCCTGCTCAGGCTGTCTCTCTCTCTCTCCTAGAAATAAATAAAAAATATTTAAAAAAAAAAAAAAAGAAAAGAAAACCCTAATGAAAGACAGTCAGCTGGGCCTGGATTGTGGAACCAGTTGGCACTGATGTGCCCCACCTCCCATAACAGGACCCCCCAAGTTTGATACAGGCCCTTCGATTCTAGAGCTCCTTCAGCTTTTTCCCTTGCACCTACGCTGCGCTGGAGCTCTCAAGGAGGCAGCTAATGGGGAGTACAAGGGAGGCCTGGGTGGAGGCTGAGGAGGCCCTTCCCCAGGACTCGTGGGCCCCACTTGGTCGGTCAGTAGTTTTTCTTGCTGTGGTGGTTGCTGTCTAGAGCCAGAGCTCTCTTTCTCCATGCAACCTGTATCGTGCTGCAGGCTGCTCCCCACATTCCTAGTCTCAGCTTCAGACGCTGCTGGAGGTACGCCCCTACCAACCACCATCACCCTGACACACACAACTCAGGGCTCCAGATGTGAAGCGCTAAAAACCCAGCACTGTGCTGAAAGGTACAAGTCCATTGCTTCTAGTTTGGTGATAGACACCAACTTGTGGTTTTAGCCTTGGGCAGGCCCTGCTCTGCTCTGGGTCGTTAGCTTCCACTTCTGGATTCTCTAGGATTTAGGCAAAGCAGACCCTCCCGGTGCAGCAAATTCTTTAGCACATGCTGGGAGCACAGTGGGGTGTGTTGCCTCTACTAAAGGGGTGGGGAGTGGCGTACCTGGGAGAGGAAGTGGTTCCTGGTCTGGCTCAGGCCTCTGCTCTGCTGTACAGTCCCCCTTGTCTTACTCCGGGGCACAGCCGTGGTTTAGTGGCCTAGGAGACGGGCAGTAGGTCAGGCAGCAGGGAATGTGGCCCAGGAGTGGAGCCAGGGATCGGGCGAAGGCCACTCAGCAGTTAATTCTTGCATGTTAATTATTGTGGGCACTTGCCAGGCTGCCACAGGAGGTGGGTGGATTAATAGTGCAGGCCTAAGGCCAGTCCCCAGCCCCACTTACCCCATTTTCTCCCCCCAAACTCAGGTCTGATAGAACCTTACAGCCTGAGTTGCTGGGTCCTTTAAAATAATCTAATCCACTTCCATCCTCGTCTTTGTTATACAGAAGAGAATGAGACCCAAAGAATCAGGATAGAACCAATTGCAGGGCAAGGGCTGCAGTGCAGGCTTCCAAGCTCCCAGCCAGCTGTAGAGAGAACAGAACTCTCCAGTCCCCAACTTATAGATCCAGCAACTCCTCCAAATTCATCAGCCCCAGACATTGCCCACCGCCAGCTGCAAAATCAGATATTCAGATGCCTAGAACCCCAGGCCCCAGCCCTCCTCTCTCCACTCCCCTGCCCCCCTACATCTTACCCACACAGGTGCCCCATCTACTGTGGCATTGTCAGAGTCTGGTCTCATGTTGACACCTCCCACCTCTCTCCCCCGAGCCAAGGACAGAAGCCTTCCTTTTATCATGGTGGTAACACTGATGGGGAAAGGGAAGAGTAGAGGAGCAAATTTGGGCAAGAGGAATTACCAAGCTCTGTTTTGTCACAGCGCCTGGGTGCAACCCAGGGAGAAGTGGTTATAGAGATGAAAGCCTAGAGGAAAGGTCTAGGTTGGATGCAGATGTGGGAGCCATCAGTCTATGGATGGCAATAGAAATTTAAGGAAGATGGGGCCTCAGTACCCTGAGGAAGGCCACAGGTCTGGCCCCATGGAACAGGAAGGAGGTGGGATTGCTGGGGGAGCAGCCAAGCCCTAAAAGGTCTGCAAAGAAGTGGACTTCCGGGAGACCCCCAGCTCATGCCCTCTCCCTCAGTGATCCTTACTTGAATCCTGTAATGAGCAGGGAGGGTTCAGCCCTCTGAAGACCTCAGCAGATAAGGTGCCACTGGACCCTTCAGACCTCTCTTCTGGCTTTATAGGACCCGGCAGCCTTCTCCTGATTGGGGAAGAATGACTGGAGATCTAGGAATGTCTTAAGGTGGGAGCTCTTTCAGATTGGACTTGTCCCTGTCTGCACCCTCCACCCCTGCCCTGGGGACTGATCATTAACTGGGCTTTGTGGCCCCTCCACAGGGGAGTAAGGCCCTGGGCCCTGATGGCTTCAGAAGTAACCAGCCACTGGGAGGTGATTGGGGGTGGGGTTCTGATCTGTGAGGAGTACCTGCCCTTGTTGAGCCTCAAGCCTGGTTCTGAACCTGGGATCTGGGTGCTGGGCTGTCTGACCAGTGCGGGAGTGCGGGGGGGTGGGGGGGGGGGTGCGGTGAAGCAGCCACCGGAAGCTTAATATCAGCAAGGTGAGCCCTCAGCATCCTTGTAGAACTCAATCTGTAGGCTGCCCTGTGACCAGACAGAGATAACAGGAAGGTGTCTGACCTGCACAGGTAGAGGCCCTGGGCTGCAGGGAGTGGGGGTGGGAGAAACTGGAGCTTTTCCTGGGTGCCAGCCCGTCAGCTGTGGAAACTGTGGTTCCCAGGCAGCAAAGTAGGACTAGGATTCAGATCTGAGTCCCATTCTAAGCCAGATTCTTTCACAAAGAAAGACAGAGAAACTTTGTAAGAGGCCCTCAGGGCATCAGCCTAAGGCTCGCAAATCCAAAGGTTCTCCTCTGGCCTCAGTTCCTGCCCTTGCCCTCTAAACTTCTATTTCAGCCACCTAGAAATTTCTGCTTGTGCTTTAGTCCTGCCAAGCCTTTGTACTTGCTGAACCCTATCCATACAACGCCATTCCTACCTCTGTTTTCTGCTTGGCAAACATTACTCCTCCTGAAGCCTCTTCTAACCTCCCTGGGCTCCCACTTGTGAGTGCATGTGTTGTTGGGGAATAGCAGATGATAAACACAGTAGGCAGGTGTTTGTACAAAGGGACCTGAGCAATGTGATAAGAAAGTGCCTGGATGCCTTCTTTCGGTAGAGTGGTCAGAAGTCATGTTAGTGGGGAATTGTAGGTTGAAATCTGAGAGTCTGTGAGGAGCCAGCCCACAGAGGACAAAGGAACACTCCAGGAACACAGAAAGAGAATTGCCAGAGAAAGGCACAAAGTAAAAAGTGTGAATGGTATGGAAGGGGCACAGATTGACAGGAGTGAGCTCTAAACTGGGGCAGACGGCAGGATTTTCTATGCCATCGAAGCTTAGTTTTTCCAACAGATACCATGGGAAAGCATTAAAGCACTGGTGAGGGGCTGTCACGTAGTAAGACATTTTTGTTTTACTTTTTGTTTTTAATTGTTTTTAATGTTTATTTATGAGAGAGAGACGGAGCGCAAGCTGGGGAGGGGCAGAGGGAGAGGGAGAAGTAGGCTCCAGGCTCTGAGCTGTCAGCACAGACCCAGACGCGGGGCTCGAACCCATGAACCATGAGATCATGACCTGAAGCCAAGTCAGATGCTTAACCAACTGAACTACCCAGGCACCCGAATGCATATGCTTCTTGAATCAGCAATCCGTTTTCTGGAATTCAAGTATGACATTTTGCCACGCAGATTACTCAGTGCAGCACTAATTGTCCTTTTAAGAAAGGGAAGCAATGCACTTGCTCTTCATTGGCATTCCCCACCCACTACCACCATCAATATCTCCACCCTAGTCTACATCTACAGTGGGAAGGAAGGGGCAAGAAACTTTTATTTTCCACCAGGAGCCTAATGACTCGTCTGTCAGTCTCTTTCCACCAATGCCCTCATCCCTTGTGATGTGGGAGTGATGAACTTGGCATGAGAGGGAAGCCTGAGGCAGGAATAAGAGCCTCAGACTTAGGGGTCAGTTTCCACCCCCTACTTACTGGTGAACTTCAAACCAGTCCCAGTCCCTCTTTGGGCCTTTCAATAGGAATGATAAAGCAATGAGGCCTGTCACCCCCAATTAAGTCATCTCCCAATTATTTATGAAACACAAGATACACCTGGTTCTGTCTATTAAAATAGGCTGTCAGAGGAATCCCATATGAACTGTCTTGGATCAAGAACCACTTACTAGGGCATTAGGAGGCCCCTTTATCTGAGAATGCTGAGCTGGGCTGAGGCTGGGTCACCCAGGCTGGGTGCGGACAAGGAAGATGTACAGATGTCTGCAGTGGGAGGGACTCAGCCTAGGAGCCAGAGTTGCAGCATCAGGACCAGGCTGAGCAGGAGAAGCTCCACCCCATGGGGCAGGGTCCCAGCACTCATGGCCAAGGCATAGAACCTCGCCACCTCCTCGTTGGGGTTGCCCTGGGCCGGGTCAAACCACATCTGGATGCAGCGGCCGCTCCCTCGACTGTAGTTGCTGAGTTTGTAGGAGTGACTCCAGATGCCCTCACACAGGGCTGCGGGCGAGGGAAAGTAGGACTCAAATGTGCGGCAGGTGGCTCCAGCCGGACACTTGTTAAATCCTGCATGGGGAGAGAGGGTGGACACACACATTCAGCCCCTGGGCTCAGAGCTCATTTCTGGCCACCCCCCCCTCCGGAAATCCTCACCCAACCCCAGACCCTCAGACCCCACCTGCATCTCCGCACCCCCAGGCCCTCACCTGAGCTCCAGTTCCAGCCCCTGTGCCAGTTGTTCTTACAGGTGTGGGAGGTGCGGCAGTCTTCCCACCATTGCTGAAAGTCCTCTTTGCATAAGGGCACATCCAGGAAGCGTTCCTTGCGCCAGCTCTGCTTCACCTAGGAGGGAGGGGGAAGGGAGGGCTCCTCTCAGCCAGGGGTGCTGGCAGCCACAGACTTGACCTGGCAGGATGGCAGCCTGCTGGGCTGGGGTGAGGGAGAGGCCTGTACCTCCTGGATCCAGGGCCCCAGATTGGGTGAGCACTCATACAGACAGTTGTCCTGAACGAAGTGGCGCCTGCAGGCGGGCTCCATCTTGCCACAGTGGTCCAGGTTAAAGTTATACAGGAGGGAGGGGTCCTGGTGCAGCTCCTGGCAGGTGTTGAGTGAGCAGCAGGCGTTCTTTTTTCAGGGGGTGCACAGCTGTCTCCTCCATATTCTGCCCCTCTGCCCCAGGTAGGGCATCCAGAGGAACACTTGATGGGGAGGGCACCTCTATGCCTTGGTGTAGTTATAACAAAACTTTTTTTTTTTTAATGTTTTATTTATTTTTGAGAGAGAGATAGAGACAGCGTGAGCAGGGGAGAGTCAGAGATAGGGGGAGATACAGAATCTGAAGGCAGGCTCCAGGCTCTGAGCTAGCTGTCAGCACAGAGCCCGATGTGGGGCTCGAACCCACAAACTGTGAGATCATGACCAGAGCTAAAGTTGGTCGCTTAACTGACTGAGCCACCCAGGCACCCCTGGAACTTTTAACAGAAAGTAAAACAGGGGAGATGGGAGGCCTGGGAACCACTGTTTGGGGGAGACATTATTTTTACAGCTCTAAAAGTTTTACAAAGTGATTTCATGTGATTTGGGTTATTTATATTACTCATTCTGTATCCAGCCAATATTAACTGAATGCTTACTATCAGTCAGTCATTGTGCTAGGTGCTGAGAATATAGCAGTGAACAAAACAGATCAAATCTCTACCCTTATAGAGCTTATGGTTTTAGTCCCCAGCAGGGGGAAGATACAGATCATTGTAGGCACAGAAAACAAGTGCAAAGTCCCTGAGGCTTTTGTACTTTATGCCTTTCAACAATCTAGTGAAAACATCATTACTTCAACTTTGACAGAGTTTACATAAGCTGTACCCCTGGGAAATGGTGGGATCAAGATTTTAATTCAGGACAGGATTGGGGAGAAAAGCCTGGCTCCAAACTGTGGTAAGGGTGGAGATAAAGGGGCTGATGTGGCTCTCCTCTGGTCTGGAATCCCAGCCTAGGGGACTTCAGATAGGTCCAGAAAGCAGTGGGGAACAGAGGGGCAATGTCTTGCACATGAACCTCAGTGTGGACCTGACTCAATGTGGGAGGCAATCCCAGAGAGGTCAATTCAAGGCAGTTAAAACAGCGGAAGTGGTGAAGGTTTCTCTGGAGAAATCGTTCGAAGCTGGGCCTCCAGTGCTGAGTGATTTATGAGCCAATTGTTTAAAATCTCTGAGATGAACTCCAGCACCCAGGGCCAAGTGACAGGGGACATGTGACAGGTCTGGGCAATCAGGAGAAACTCAGGTGAATGCACAAGGGTAGAACCAAACCTACCCTTCTCCAGCAACCCAGCCCACCCCAAGCACAGCTGACACAGAACATGCTTCAGATCCTCCCTAAGTTCATGCGCACTCCTCCTCTGATGCTCCCCAGCTCTCAGATACCCGGCAAGAATCCATTCACCTCATTCCTGACTTGCCCACCACAGTCAGTGGTTTCTGCCTCCACAGGAGTTAATTATTATAATATTATTATATATATATATTATATCACTCATATTTTAGTGCATGCACACACACACAAAGCAAATGATACATCAGAAATGACTCAGAAGTCATGGGGTTCTGGGCTTCCCACCTTTCACTTCCAGCCCCGGGGTCTATGCCGCCCTTCCCTGGGAACATCCCTGGCCCTTAGCAACGTGAGAGTTTGTGGGGAGCAGAGAGGAGACCAGGAAGAATGAAGTACCATCATCTCTCACGAGCCTGAAGTTCAGCTTCAGGCTCAGGTTCCCTGAGCAGCTTTGGGGGCTTTATCTATAAAGGGGGGACTCTCACCTCCCCTTCTCTTTGGGCGGCAGCGTCCTTGGCTCTTGTCTCACTATGCTTGCCACAGCCTGTGCTGTCACCCTGCCACCCATGCACAAGCTGTTCTCCGCTAGGCTGCCCTTTCCTCCTTTGTCTTCCTGGAAAACTTGTACTCATCTTCAAGGCCAAGGCTGATGGCACCTTTCCTGGGAAGTCTTCCTAGCATTATCTGATTTGTCACTGTCTCTTCAGGACTTAATAGGGGTGGAGGACCTGGACTGTTCATACATGTTTGCCGCATCATGACCTTGAGGGAACTGACTCCTCTGTACCTTGTCTTTGAGCTCCATAGGCTGGGAAAGGCACTGCCTGACTCTGTCCTAAGCCCTGCTAGTGACTATTCTCTCAATTCCCACATGTACCTGTGCCCTCTCTAGGCCTCATTTCCTGTTTCTTCATCTGTGTGAATAGAGACCATCCACCTACCAATTAAGCCCTTTGGGCATATTCATTGACAAGGCCTGAGGAAAGCACTTAGCCCATAGTGGGTGGCCTTCTGGGGATTGCCTCAGCCACCCTCTTGACTCCATTTCTCTCCAAAGCTGATCTCCCCATTTCCCAACTTCTTCTATTTTTAGGGTCTGCTCTCTCCGCAACCCTTGACCCGACCTCCATCCTCACCTGGTCATGCAGCTTGTCCTTGGGGCCTAGCTTTGTCTTGTGATGCTTGGCATCCATGCAGACGTTGAGCAGGTCTGTCCTGGCCCCTGGAGTCCCGGGCTGGGCATCCCACACGGTAGCCACCAAAACCAGAAGCAGCAACTGTGTCATCTGTCAGGCCATGTCTATCTGTTCCTGCCAGAAAGCCAGTCAGAGGTGGACACAGCCTGAGAGAGAGGCAGTAGCCATGAGACTCTCCACCGAGTTTCTTGTCTCCCTGCCAAGCCCAGATCTTCTGCCCTCCTCACCCAGCTTATCCCCCAAAGCACCTACCTGAGCCCAACAACAAGGCAGATATAGAGGTCTAGGCCAGAAGATAAGACCCAAGAGCCCCCTTCCAAGGGCCCTCCAACGCTAGCTTGCTCTATGACCTTGGTGGGAGCCACCACCCTTCTCTGGACATAACCTTCCTATTTCACTGGTGGTATTTCATCCACAGTCTGAGGGTCCTGCCATCTCAGCAAGTCTTCTCAGATCTACACAACAGAAACCACAGGAAGTGGTCTGCTGATGAGGGTGGGGAGTGAGAGGAAGGAGTACCTGTGGCCCATCCCCCACCAGTCCAAGGCAGCCTAGGTTCAGGCCCATGGAGACTGCCAGTGGGCAGACAGGGATGCTGACCCTAGGGCCAGCCAAAGGCCACTGAGCCCTTCAGTTACTGCTTATAGTCCTGGATCTGGTGACACAGGAGTTGAGGGCTGCTGGGGGTGCAATGTGGAGGGCCATGAGGGTGCAGGCCCAGAGAGTCAGAGGCAGGTTTCTCATACCTCAGCAACCCGTCCCCACCACACAGGGGTCTTGGGAAGTTACCCTGGTGGATCCAGGCCTAGAACTAGGGGAAGGCCAACAGTGAGGCACTTGGAGGAGGGAATGGAGCCAGAGCAGTGAGTGGTGGGAGCTACCAGAGGAAAATTCAGCGGACAAACCAGACCCCAGGAGAACTGGGAAAATCTTCACCTTTCCTCCCCCCTCCTTCCCCACTTTCCTTCAAAGCCTGACCTTACCTCTGCCCTCAGCCCACCTGGGAGATACACTCCCTTTTATAAAACCACCAGGACTGCTTCTTGAGCATCTCAGTCAGGAGGGGTGGGCGGGCTTGGTCTAGGAAACAGCCCAACTGTTTTTCAGTGAGAGGCCAGGTAAATAAATTATGATCCACCCAATGGGACTTAACCTGGTATAAAAGATTGAGAAAGCTATTGGCATACAAATATGGAAAAATCTCCAAGTATATTGTTAAGTGAAAGAAGGAAGATGCAGAAAGGTGTTGATAGAATGCAATCTTTTGCGTAAACAAGGAAGAGGGAGAAGGTATGTGCTTGCATAAGAAAATTCTGGAAATGTAGAAGAATGTTTTAAGTAGTCACTTGGTGGCATGACACAGGATTAGGCATGAGACTTCCTTCTATTTTAAAATTTTTTTTAAAGTTTATTATTTTTTTAGTAATCCCTACACCCAACATGGGGCTCGAACTTACAACCCCAAGATGAAGAGTTACATGCTCTTCTGACGGAGCCAGCCAGGTACCCTGAGGCTTTCTTCTATAAATCTTTCTATGCTGTTTTGATTTTTTGAACCATGTGAGTATATATACCTTATTGAAATATAACGTATATGTTTTCGTGTATATATAAATATAAATATATTAAATGTTTACTGGAAAGATAAAACACAGAATGATGCATCTGATTTGGTACTGTTATGTAAATTTCAGTAACAAGGATGTTTATAAAATAATGCTGTGGATTAGTTATGGATACTATAGATGTGTTTGTAGAAATGTGAACACAAGGCCACCATTAGTCCTAGGTCCCTGGGTAATACTAGCAGAGAAATTCTGTGCATTTATGCCATATGCAGTTGACCCCTTGGACAACATGGGTTTGAATTGCACAGGTCCACTTAAACACAGATTTTTTCAGATAAACAGTACAGTACTGTAAATGCATTGTCTTAATAACGTTTTCTTTTCTCTAGCTTACCTTATTGTATGAATATGGCATACCGTACACATAACATACAAATTATGTGTTAATCAACTGTTTATGTTACTGGAAAGGCTTTGGTCAACAGCAGGCTATTAGTTGTTAGGTTTTAGGGGAGTCAAAAGTCTCATACAGGTTTTATTTTCTTTTTTAAATGTTTATTTTTGAGAGAGAGACAGAGACAGAGACAGAGCGTGAGTGGGAAAGGGGCAGAGAGAGAGGGAGATACAGAATCTGAAGCAGGCTCCAGGCTCTGAGCTGTTAGCTCAGAGCCTGATGTGGGGCTCGAACTCAAGAACCGTGAGATCATGACCCGAGCCGAAGTCGGACGCCCAACCAACTGAGCCACTCAAGCACCCCTAACATGCCGATTTTCAACTGTACAGTGAGGTAGAGAGTGTCAGCACTCCTGACACCTGCATTGTTCAAGGCAGGTTCCATTTTGGTGCACAAATGAGAGCATACTGTTCTACACTTTGCCTTTTTGGGGTAGCTTCTCTATACATTTGTGTGGTCTTTTTTAAGTCTATATATGTATTTTGAGAGAGAGAGAGAAGGAAACAGAGTGCATGCCCACACAAGTGGGGGAAGGACAGAGAGAGGAGAGAGAGCATCCCAAGCAGTGTGTACGCTGTCTGTGCAGAACCCGAGGTGAGGCTCCATCTCCCCAACCGTGAGATCATGACCTGAGCTGAAATCAAGACTTAGACACTTATCTGACTGAGCCACCCATGTGCCCCTTAATATATGTTTATGCCTTTGACAAAACAAACAAAAACCTCATGAAGCCAAGTTATCCGCACCTACACACTTGAGTATTACTGTCACAGCTGATAGCATAACCTTCAAGTACTTCTTTATGCCTGCTATGGTCTGAAATTAATTAAAATGCCCTCAATAGCAAAAACCCTTTCTTTAACCGTTATAAAAAAGTTAAGAAAGGAGGCACTTGGCCGGCTCAGTCAGTGGAACATGTAACTCTTGATCCCAGGGTTGTAAGTTTGAGCCCCATGCTGGGTGTAGAGATGACTCAAAAACCAAATCTTTAAGAAACAGAAAGTTAAGGAAGAGGGGCGGCTGGAAGACTGCCAGCTCAGAGCCTGGAGCCTGTTTCAGTCTGTGACTCCCTCTCTCTCTGACCCTCCCCTGCTCACGCTGTCTCTCTCTCTCCTAGAAATAAATAAAACATTAAAATAAAAAAAAAAGTTAAGGAAGAAAAGTTCATCTTTTCAAGTCAAAAGTTCTTGACCCTTAGTCTATTTCTCAGACATTATTGCTGACAGGAAAGTTGGTTGCTAGCAAGGAGACAGATGGTATTGACCCTGTTTTTGTTTTTTTTTTATAATGTGTATTGATGATTATGATTTTGGGAAAACCTTGAAATCCTGTCATCACTTATGCAACTAGTGGAGTGCCTCTCCTGTGGCAAGGTCTGTGGTTTCAGTTTGGTCTCAGCACGTGGTCCTGCCACGGTGCATCTATGATGACAAGGTCGGAGTCTGGTTATGAGATGCTCACCTTACCCCATGTGCCCGCTCCGGGCTCCATCCCTGCTGACTGCCAGACCATGGTCAGCAGCACTCCTGAACCAGCCTGCAAACCAGCCTGAGATCTTCACTGTGCTGCTGGTCTTGGTACCTTCATTCCCTAAACTGGGACATGTATCTGTTTTCCTTCTCTTAGGAGAACGTTGAAGGTGTAAATGAAAGCATTTTGTAGCCTACTAAACACAAATTACAGAATCACACCAGTCATCATACATTGAGAACTACTCTACCCCAGTTAGAACAATGGACGCTTTACTTACATTGTTATGTCTGCAACTCCCACAACTCATTGTGATGTCAACCTTATTACTCCCAATTTACAGATGAGGAAACTGAGGCCTTGGGAGTTAGGTGAATTCCCAAACAGCTAAAAAGAAGAGTCAGGATTCAACCCAAGCTGATTTAGCTACAAAGCCCATGCATTTTTTACTGTAATGCTATCTCCAGATACATGGTCTCATTTTGTTGCCTTATCTCTAGGAAATTTAGCTGAGAAAACACATTCTCTGCTTACTTTTGAGAACAGCCTTCAGCGCTTCTTTCCCTTGAAACCTCTTAGACTGTACAATTTTTTTCCAATTCTGCTAAGTTTTGTCAAATAATGCAAATAAAGGAAATATAATATTTTAAAAAGAAAGGTATCATGTTACCCGCTTGCAACTAGAGATAAGTTTAGATGTTTCATCAGAAGTTCTTCCTAGCCGTGGGGTGCCTAGGTGGCTTAGTTGGTTAAGCGTCCGACTTTCGCTTAGGTCATGATCTTGCCGTTTGTGGGTTCGAGCCCCGCGTCGGGCTCTGTGCTGACTGCCAGCTCAGAGCCTGGAGCCTATTTCAGAGTCTGTGACTCCCTCTCTCTCTGACCCTCCCCTGCTCACACTGTCTCTCTCTCTCTCTCTCTCTCCTAGAAATAAATAAAAATATTAAAAAAAAAAGAAGTTCTTCCTAGCCGTGTTATCAAGCAGATATACAAATCATAAATTATGCAGAAAGGGAAAACATAAGATTTCCATTGCTTTTTTGAAAAAAGCTAAGCAAAGACGTAAATAAATATACAAAGGTGGTCATGCCTGGACCAATGCTGAGAGCATGCCAAGAAACAAAGGTTATGATTAATCTAATCCTGTGCAATGGAGGGGAAAAAGCCCTTTCCTGTGAGGAGGGGTTAAAGAAGAGTACAAGTTCTTTGACTGTTGACGATTGATGATTGAGGAGTGAGGTCTTTGACCCTTCCCCTAGAATGTTGACAGGCTCTGTGACCGCTCTGACCAGGAGAATATGGTAAAACTGATGCTTTGCCAGTTTCTAGCTCCAGGCCTTAGGGATTAAGGACTGAATGTTTGTGTCTCTTCCAACATTCATATGTTGAACCCTTACCTGCCCCCCACCATGTGATGATGATATTGGGAGGCAGGATTTTTGGGAAGTGATTAGGGCGTGGGGATTAGTGCCTTTATAAGAGTTACTTAGAGAGCTTGCTTTTTTCTGCTCTCTACCATGTCTGTGGTATTTTGTTACAGCAGCCCAAACTGACTGGGGCAGGGACTAACAGCTTCTATCTCCTGTCTCTTGGTAGATTAGATTTTAGATCCCTGAGCCACTATGCAAGGAGACTGACTATCCTGCTGGAGGGGCCACATCGAGAAGCCCATGGACTACATGGAAAAGAGGGGTTCTAGGAAGGATGGCCTTCCAGCAACCCCTGCCCAAGTGCCAATCACGTGAGTAAAACTATCTTGGATGTTCAAGACCAGACCAGCCATAAGCTAAATGCTACCCAGCCACTGCCACATGGAGCAGAAGGATTATCCATCCGAGTCTTGCCCAAATTACTGACTCATAAAAATCTTGAAATATAGCTATTAAGCCACTAAATCCTCTTTGATTTTTTAACTTTTCATTTTGGAATAATCTTTGACTTATAAAAAAAGTACAAAAGTAGTAAAGAAAATTCCCATATACTTTTCATCCATGTTCCCCAAATGTTGTCATCTTACATAACCAAAGTAAATTTTGGCCAGAAAATCAGAGAAGTGGTGGCCCTTTCTGAGTGTATCATATCAAGGGGTATGTGATGTGCAACATGTCCGATTGCTAGCAGTCATTTGGTTAAGGTGGTTTCTCTCCATGTAGTTATTAGTTTTCTCTTTATGAGTAATCAGTATTTTGTGGGAAAATACTTTGACACTACACAAATATCCTCATCACACCGTCATCCCCTAGTTTAACACCCCACCTTGCCTGCAACAATAAACCACAAAGCTAGGAGATGGTGCAGCCAAAGACAACTGGTAATACTGTGATAGTTAGTGTTGCCTTTTCCAGGCTCTGAGAAATAATTTGCCTTATCATCTTTTTTTAATGTTTAGTTATTTTTGAGAGAGAGAAAGAGACAGAGCATGAGTGGGGGAGGGGCAGAGAGAGAGGGAGACACAGAATCTCAAAGAGGCTCCAGGCTCTGAGCTGTCAGCACAGAGCCTGACACAAGGCTCAAAGTCAGGAACTGCAAGATCATGATCTAGGCCGAAGTCGGACACTTAACCAGCTGAGCCACCCAGGCACCCCTGGCTTATCGTTTTAGTACAGTCAAATAACAGTTAATTCTACAGAATTAACAAACTATTTCCATAGACTTTCTCATCACTGCAAGGGATGATCAGATTATTTGGTCATTGTAGAGTTTTAATCCGAGGAGTGACATGATTCAGTTGGCAGTTTTGAAAGATCTCCTGGCTGATGTGGGCAGAAGGGATTGGATGTGAGCAGGTGAGTTGATTAGGTAGACTTCAGGAGTCCAGGCCTGGGATGATGGTGCCTTGGACCAGCAAGGTCGTAGTAAGGATTCATTCAATAAATCAGTTCAAGGGGCGCCTGGGTGGTTCAGTCGGTTAAGCATCGACTCTTCATCTTGGCTCATTATCTCACAGGTCTGAATTCAAGCTGCATGATGGGCTTTATGCTGACAGTACAGAGCCTGCTTGGGATTCTCTCTCTCCCCCGCCCCTCCCTTGCTCTCTCTCAAAATAAATGAGCATTAAAAAAGTTAATCAGTTCAAGAGTCACTGAGTATCTATGATGTGCTAGGCTGTTCTAGTTGCCAGGGCTACAACATTGAACAAGACAAAGTCCTTGCTCTCAATGGAGCTAACATTCCAGTGAGGGAGGGGGGACAAGAGAAAACAAATGAAGAGGTACATGGTGATGATGCTATGGAGAAATGAAGCAGGGTAAGGGAATAGAGAATGATAGAGGAGGGGCTATTTTATTTTATTAAAGTTTATTTGTTTTGAACTGTGAGATCATAACCTGAGCTAAAATCAAGAGTCAGACACCCTGCAGGGGTTATTTTATATAGGAAAGATCTACAAGGTGATATCTGGGCAGAGGCCACAGTGAAGTAAGGAAAGGTTCCCCATGCATATGGAGGGGTGTCTTGTACCAGTCCCAGCTTATCAAGAAGCAATGTTGTGGTGGACTGTCCTTGACCCTGTGCTTCCTATTATGAATGTAAGATGCCTTTTAGCAATAACCATCAGCAAACTTTGAAAAAAGATTTATTACTCACAGAACCTGGAGATTACACAACATACCTGGTACCACACAGAAAGGTCATAGGTAGAGAGAGAGCACACAGGCCTGGGGTTCCACTTTTATTGGGGTCATGGGTGGGGGCCTAGGGTTTCATAGTTTCGCTCTTTACTGGTGAATTTAAAACATAAAATCAGGGGTCACCTGGCTGGGTCAGTTGGTAGAGCATGTGACTCTCATTCTCAGGCTTGTGGGTTCAAGCCCCATGTTGGTCATGGAGCCTACTTAAAAATAAATTAATTAATTAATTAAGGTGAGAATTTAAAATGTGAGAAGAGAAAAAACAAGTGGCCCCAATGGTCAGTGGAAATCAACCAAGATCTCTAAAACAAAAGAGTTTCAGTTATTGGGGAGGTGACCTGGCTCTTTATCTAGCCATGAGAACAGGTTAGTGATCACAAGAGTTTAGCAATCTCTTCAAAGATTTGGATAATGTTGTAGAATATTTTTTTAACTTATTTATTTTAAGATAGAGAGAGCACAAGAAGGGGAGGGGCAGAGAAAGAGAGGGAAAGAGAGAGAGGGCAGAGAAAGAGAGGGAAAGAGAGAGAGATCGCAAGCAGGCTCCATGCTGTAGGCACAGAGCCCAACTCAGGACTCCATCTTATGACTGTGAGATCAAGACCTGAGCCAAAATCAAGAGTCAGATGCTTAACAGACTGAGCCACCCAGGTGTGCCCATATGTAATTAATTCTTGATCTTGATGTTCTGTTACAGTTTTATGAATCCAGCTTTTCATAAGAGTTCTGTAAATTCTTACCTTGTTCAGTGATATGATCTGAAAGTTATCAGAAACCTATACTTGTCAGAGTCCTTTCCATGAATCTCTTCAAAGATGAGGCACTTTTGCAAAAGAATCAGAGAAAAACAATAACTTCCTATAAATGAAAAAAGACATAAAAATGTCCATAGTTAAGGGGCACCTGGGTGGCTCAGTAGGTTAAGTGTTCAACTTCAGCTCAGGTCATGATCTCTCAATTTGTGAGTTTGAGCTCCGCATCAAGCTCTCTGCTGTCAGCTCAGAGACCGCTTAAGATCCTCTGCCCCGTCTCTTTCTGCCCTTTTCCTGCTCTCTCTTTCTCTCTCTTTTCCCCAAATAAGAAAACCTTAAAAAATGCCCATAGTTAAAAGTTTGATGAGAGTTCTGTTTAATGAAATTGACAAGGAAATTTGGTTATTTCTGTGATATGCAACATGTTAAGATGGTAACTGGAATTATGACTGATAATGTTACATAGTGCACTTTTAGGAATTTCATATAATTTCTGGAACAGTTATTAGTAACATATATTCATACAAGAATACCTATGAAGAAAGTTTAGCATTATTTCTTACTTGGCATGCTTCCATGTAATTTAACACATCAAATAAGCCCAATTCATTTAATGTCTTTTTCTATTTTTTTAAGTTTATTTATTTATTTTGAGAGAGAGAGAGAACAAATATGAGCAGAGGTGGGGCAAAGAGAGGGACAGATAGAATCCCCAGCAGTCTCCTCACCATCAGTGCAGAGCCTGACATGGGGCTAGAACTCATGAACCATGACATCATGACCTGAGCTGAGATCAAGAATCAGATGCCTAACCAACTGAGCTACCTAGACTCCTCTATTTTTTAATTTTTTATTTTTTTTACTTATTTTCTTTGAGAGAGAGAGAGAGAGAGAGCACAGCAGGGGAGAGGGGCAGAGGGAGAGAGAGAATCTAAAGCAAGCTCTATGCTCAGTACAGAGCTAGAAGCAGGGTTCGGTCTCATGACCCTGAGATAATGACCTGAGCCAAAAATCAAGACTGAGACACTTGACATACTGAGCCATCTAGGCACCCCTCTTTTTTTATAATGTCTTTTTTTAAATGTTTGTTTATTTATTTTGAGAGAGAGTGGACACACATGCATGTGCACACTCACATGAGTGGGGGAAGGGGCAGAGAGAGAATCTCAAGGAGCCTCCAGACTGTAGGGCAGAGCCCAATGCAGGGCTCAAACCCATGAATCACATGACTACACCTGAGCCAAGATCAAGAGTCAGAGGCTTAACAGACTGAGCTACTCAGGTGCCCCTTAATGTCTTTTTTTATACAGAACATCTTTTGAGATGTTCCAGGTGCCCATTAGAAAATCCCAAAGGTACTTACAAATAAAAAAAATTCATTTAGAATTTGATTTGGGAGATGCCTGGGTGGTTCAAGCGTCCAACTGTTGATTTCGGCTCAGGTCATGATCTCACAAGTCGTGAGACTGAGCCCTGGGTATGGCTCTGCACTGACAACGTGGTGCCTGCTTGGGATTCTCTTTCCCCCACCCTCTTTCTCTCTGCCCTTCCCTGCTCATGCTCGCTCTCTGAAAATAAATAAAACTTAAAAAAAATTGATTTGGGGCGCCTGGGTGGCTTAGTCGGTTAAGTGCCCGGCTTTCGCTTAGGTCATGATCTCGCGGTTCATGGGTTCGAGCCCCGCGTCGGGCTCTGTGCTGACTGCCAGCTCGGAGCCTGGAGCCTGTTTCAGTCTGTGACTCCCTCTCTCTCTGACCCTCCCCTGCTCACGCTCTCTCTCTCTCTCTCTCCTAGAAATAAATAAAACATTAAAAAAAAAAATTTAAAAAAAAAATTGATTTGGGAAGGTTTGGTATTTGTGATTTATTTTCCTCTTTCCTATTATGAAATAACCAGTTTTTCTTTTTTTTAGGACAAATTTACTTTCTTTTTCCTTAGCAAAAATGCATCTTCATACTTCATACCTTCTCTTAGCCAAAAACATATCCTACTTTCCTTGCATACAGAGTTGTTTCCTTTATTAGTTCTGGTAACTTTAATTACATATATTAATTAGAACTCTTAATGCTTAGAAACCAGAAATTTTAGTGAAAATGAAAAGGCAAGCAGTTGTGAACTGTTATGCCAGCATTCTTCAGATTGGCAAATTTTTGAATACATTTAACAATTTTTCATAACACACGTTTCCCCATAACACAATTTTTCAATGTGACACAAGACATGTTTACTAACAGACTCAGATATCTTTAGTTCTTCCGTAATGAGAGGTCAAAAGCAGGTAAACTTAGACTTGTGTAAAAATTAATGTTTCACAGGGTGCCTGGGTGGCTCAGTTGGTTAAGTATAT